TTAATTAAAAATATAATTTTAAAAAAAGTGTTGTATAGTGTATACATAAAACAAAAAATAGCTTTTTGATTTTTATGATTTAGTGCCACATCATTTGTGAAGTTTTGTTTTGTATAGTTTATATAGCTTTTTGAATTTACTTATAATAAGAGCTCATAAGGGGTAATGGAGCCGTATGAGAATGTTGAAAAAAATGTTTAATATAAATTTAAGAATTTTATATTAATATTTTTATTAATTAATTAAGTTTAATAATTATTTAATATTAAAAATTTTGTTTAATTTTTTAAATTAAAAAAACTTATAACTCGTCGGTTCTCAGGTTGAACCGACGGTTATAGCCATAATCTGGACAAGCCTTCAGACCGGTTCACTATCTGACCGGCCAGTCCCAACCGGTTTTTAAAGCCTTGCTTACATACATATAAATGAAGGCTGAAGCAAATTCGTTCATGGAGCAATCCGTACATCTCGGCTGGAGAGGAGAGGTGCAAGTGTAACATCCTAAGATCAAATTTAGAAAAAATTAAAGAAACTATAATTATATATATCAACAAATTTTATTATTCATTCACCAAAATATCATTTACACTAACTAGAAAATCACTACATTAATCTATCACAAACTCGTGAATATAAAAGAATAAAAATATATATAGAACATAATCTAAAGAAGAACCTGACGATATTTATCGATATCACTGCTCATAATTCTGACCTCTTCCATGACATGAAATCATTAAAATCCGCATAATTAGCTAAAAATCCCAGCATGCAACTAAAATTGTATCATTGCTTTCAATGCAAGGCAAAAAATAATGTGTATGTTTCAATTTTAGTCAATATCAATCATCACTTAATATGAGCAAAAAAAATTCAAAAATTAATAATAAAATCAAAAAGATTAGTGAAGTTAAAATAGATCTATCAAACTATAAGATATACGATAAATCATACTATCATCCAATAAATCATGTCAGTATGCTATATTATGTTGCATCAATATTGATGCAAATACGATTACAACTATACTATCAATTAATTCAAATGTACTATCATGTAAATATAATATCTTTTTCCACCACAATTATTGAACAATTGGATATCAATATTAATCAGGCCCAATTAACAATTAATTGGTATCAATCAACCCAATTATTGTCTAGTTGAGTATTAGTCTTAATTAGGCCCAACTGCATGTATCAACCTATTGATTTCGATCTACCCCAATTATCGTCAATTGGATATCAGCTTTAACTAGGCCCATCTGTCGAATAATTAGTATCAATCTTCATCTTTCATGTTAACAACCAGCCTTCCATCTAGCCTCCCTTACATGCAAATGCAACAATTTCTGTGAATGTCATATATGAAATATAATAATTCATAGAACATAGAAAAATCTACTGAATTTATTTACTTTGCATTTAATTCAAAAAATTAAAACTTCATATTTAACCATTGAAAATTCAATATATTCCTGTCAAAATATTCATATTGATGATATCTATCACATACAAAAAGTTATGTGGTGAAAATTTTAACAATACAAAATTATCCTCATTTTTCGATAACAAAAATATAAATTTGATCGAAAAATATCAGAAACAAAAAAAAATATTGAAAACTGAAATAGGGTAATAGCTCTTTACAGCGAAACGAGCAAATTTTCCAATATAACCGACGGCCAAAAATCACTCCACAACCTTCGAATGTTTCTCTTTTCTCTCTCCTTAAAATTCTCTCTAAATTTCTCAAACTCCCTGTTAGCCGATTGCATGGATTAAAAAGCTTTATAATGGATTCTATTAGTGACTTAGGATATTTTATAATAAAATAATTGTTGTTAAATATTGGAGGATTCTTCAAAACAAAGGGAGAAGGGGAGAGGGAGAGCTCACAGCCCTTGTAAGAAAAGAGAGCAAAAATTTATTTCTTGGCTGGGAGAATGCATCTCTATTATTACAGCATTTATGTCTATATAAAGACATAAATGACAACATCAAAGCTACAAGAACCTAAATAAAGTACACCAATAAGAAAAATACACAAAACAAAAATAAGTTGGATCACAAACTCTAACAATCTCCACATTGATCGAACTTCTTCCAATTGACCCTTACAAAACCTCTGAATCAATCCATTTATCTCCTGAATCAGCTACCACTGCCAAGTTAGCGTCTTCTTTAAGTTCAGCTCTTCGTCATTTCTCTCTATTTGGAAAATTTCTCTTGAAATTTCCCTCTTTGTGGCAAAGATAGCACTTTTTTCTGATTTTCTCTTTTATAACTTCAGATATGCCCCTAACAAGCAACATGTCACCATTCTTTTTCTTCTTAATCACTAATTTTCATTGAATCATCTTTGACATCAATACTAACTTTACCTCAGTCATAGTCAAAGTTTGCTTCCCATGCAACATGGTATCAACGATGTGTTCATAAGCTTTCGCCAGCAAGCAAAGCAAGATGATGCCCTGATATTCTTCATCAATCTTCACGTCAAAATTCTTGAGATCAAGAATTATTTTGTTGAAGTCATCCATGCGCTTTCAAAGATCATTTGATTCTTCCATCTGGAGGGCATACAGTTACTTCTTCAAGATCAGATGATTTGAAAGCGATATTTTGAAGAACAACGGTTCTTAGTTTCTCCCAAAATTTGATGGTTGTTTCTTCATCGGCAACCTCTCGCAACACCTCATTACCAAGAAAAAGTAAAATTGTGCTGTGAGCTTAGAATTGCATTTCCCTTGCCTTCACTCGATCCGTCAACGCTAAAAATCCATCTCTGGATATCGCCTTCGATAGCCCTTGATGGACTAACATTGACATTATCTTGATCGGCCACATGCTGAAATTATTTTCTCCACTGAATCTATCAATCTTAAATCTTTGTACTGACATGATTTAGAAAACAGAACTCGATCTGTGCCCCAACGGCACCAGCCTGCACTATATACACTCTGGCTTTCGTTTTGTGTGAACAGCCTGCACACTGAACCCAAAATCACTTAGTTCACTGTGTTTATATGACGAGAAAACAATCTATCTTCATGCCCCACATTCTTTCGTAACTGACAAGCTATGCATGCCTGGTGTTAAAGAGCATTGACCATGGAATTGTTAATAGCATGGCACTAACACATTTCGTAAAAAGACAAATGTTTGAATTGATGATGGATTATAGCTTCTTCAAGTTAAAGAAGCCATATTTACATGGTAAATTACCAATTTTTTATAAACAGTGGGATTAATGACTAATGAGAACCACAATCCACTCATAGTATAATCCCATAACAAGGAAAAAAAACCCTTAAGCTAAACTCACCTGATAATATTCCCTCAGTAATTCAAAAACTGAAATATTTTAGAATTAGCCCAAACCTTCAGTTTTGTGAACAAATGTCCTAGTCTAAAATTAATATGATTTGAGAAGTTGTCGTTTGCTGATAACTTACAGCTACAGGGAAAAAAAACATAATTTCGACTCGACAATCCCTATTATAAACTTTTTCAGATCCAGCCTTCAGTTTTTTCCCCCACTCATCTCTAATCACAAAAATAATTGAAGGCATAACAATTTAATAAGGACACAGGTATCTCCAATCGAATCGTCGTCTCTAATTCAATCGGCATACAAATCCTTCGTGCCTAGAAATTACGCATCAATGCTTGGGCATTGCTTAAACCAACAATCAATCTAGGACAGAACATGAAATTAAGAAATAATTTTTAATGAATTAGAAAGAACACACAAAGATAAGATGTTGGGAGGCAAATTACTAAAAAGCCCTCTTATTAGAATGTAAGGTAGAACATTAAGAGCAAAATATAAAAATATTTTTTTCTTAAAGTATTTAGAAAATACATTTATTGGTGGGGGAGGGGGAATTTTATAGGGTAGGCCAATTATCTATCATGAACTCTTCCTAAATCTGACCCTGCCTAGCTACATAAAAGAAATTCTCCCTTATGTATCCTTCGATTAACTTTCTAAATAAACCTTACTGCCTATGTTCTTCATCATGTCATATGGCGCAAAGGCATCTGTTTAGACAGAATAATATAGAACTGGGTTGATCAGAATAGCTCAACAAGAGAGATAAATTTTTGGATGCACAAAGCCAACTTACCATCTCCAACTTTTCAAGTAGAAAGAATACATGTTTAGATAGATACATTATTTCATACTCTACGTCAGAAATCCCACAATTTCCAAGAATTGAATTCATATCATGCATAAAAATCTTGCGATAATGGCAGATTCATGATGGATACATACCATATATCTTGATGTGCTACAACCTACCAGAAGTCATTGCAAGAGCATAAACCTCCTCTGAAATAGTGAAACCGACTTCGATCCCTCGCAACGATCTCTCGGTCGAAGACCTTAGACAATGCTTTTAGAAAAGAATGGCAATCGCAACAGACTCGTAAATTTTTTGTTATTCTAATGTTTGAACCTGGAGCCGTGCTCATCAGCCCAAAAGCAACGGCTAGTTTCTCACTGTGAAAAAATAAAGAATGCTCCTTCTCTTCCTCCTCTATGTCAAACAATACTTCTGAGGTACCTAACATATGACCAGCTAACCTGACCCGCTGACACATTTCTGTAATCATCTTATATATCTTCTCAGTTTGGATATGTGATCGATCTCCTGCTGCAAATTGATGAACTATGCCATTTAGTTCAATCCAACTTAAGCCTGGAGTTTTATTAATTCCTTTAGCTCTCATCAAGTTTCTTACTTGCAAGGCATCATCCCACCTATGGACTCTGGCATATAGATTCGATAGAATCACATATCGACCGCAAGATTCCGGATCCAGATCAATCATGTTCCTACTTATCATCTCTGCAATCTTTGTTTGTCCAAGAACCCTACAAGCTCCAATAATACTAGCCCACAGAACCTCATTTGGCTTGATTGGCATTTTCTTCATAAACTCTAGAGCATCTTGCATTAATCCTGCTCTGCATAAAAGATCAACTACACATCCATAGTGCTCCATCCTAGGATGTATCTGGTACACATCTTTCATTTCATTAAAAATTTTGAGCCCAGCTTTAACCAATCCGGAATGGCTGCAAGCTAATAGAAGTCCAATGAAAGTTACATAGTCTGCTACTGCTTCTTCTTGCTTCATTTCTTCGAATAGATCTAATGCCATCTGACCATGGCCATGAATAGCTAGTCCACCAATCATGGCATTCCACGTGAACACATTCCTTTCCTTCATCTTCTTAAAAACTTGCATGGCTAAATCTACCCTTCCACATTTCGCATACATATCGATTAGAGAGGTCTGAAGAACAATATCCCGTTTCACATTATATTTTTCAATCAAGTGATGAACATACTTCCCTTCATCCAAAGCTCCCATCTGAGCACAAACAGAAAGCATGGTTCCAAGTACCACTTCATCAGGATTAATTCTTTCATTCTGCATTTGGGTAAAAAACTCTAAAGCGTCTCGAAAATTACCTAAAGTAGCAAATCCATTGATCATGCTGGTCCATGTAAGTAAGTCCCGCTCACCCATTTCATCAAAAAGCTTCTTTGCCAACGACAAATCACCGCATTTGCAGTACATATCAAGGATCACATTTGTCAACTGAAGGTTCGATGCAATAAAACCCAGTTCACGGGAATACAAATGGAGCCGATGGCCTCTATCAAAATCACCCAACTGAGAGCATGCAGACAGCAAACAAATCATCGTCACAGCGTCGGGATTCATATTCTTGGCTTGAATCATTTCTTCAAAACAACCAAAAGCCTCTTCAAATTCTCCCCTCTTAACATATCCTCTGATCATGACATTCCATGACACTACATCTCTTAGAGGATTTCGATCAAACAGTTGGCGAGCATCACCAAAGAGCCCACAAGATGCATACATCTGAATCAAGGAATTCAGAACAAAAACGTCTGATCCAAGACCAAACTTAAATGTTTCAGCGTGGAACCTCTTGCCGAGCTCTGGCGATAACATCCGAGCACAGGCAGTGAGCACGAAAGGGTAAGAGTGGTGGTCCGGAGGTACACCTGAGCTAACCATAAGGTGAAAGAAGGAGATGGCTTGCGAGGGCTTGGGGCTTCTTGCGTGGCCACGTATGATGGTGTTCCATATGAAGCTATCCGGACCAGACAATTGGTCAAACAGCTGCTGGGCGTAATTGAGGTCGCCGGAGGGAGAAAGAGCGAGGAAAGAGAGGAGCTTGCTGGAAAGGATATTCTCGTGTAAGAGGTCGAATCGGAGGAGAAAGGCGTGAGCTTGCTTGCAGTTTACTACTGAAGTGCAGTGCTGCTTTAGCAAGTCGACGGAAAGGGGTTTCAGCCATTGAGATGGTATTTTCATCGCGCCATGGGCGATGGTTTGAGAAGGAAAGCGCGGGAGAGGCGCGGCCAAGGTTGCTAAGGGCATCTCCACCGTTCTTGTTTTGCTCCAACAGATCGCCAATATTGGCGTCTCATTATTTACTCACGCCATTTTTTGCTCTCAACAGGAAAAACGTGCGAAAGGGAGGGCGATCGTTACCTTCTCAAAAACACCTAAAATGGCGTTCGATTGGAGCATCACCGCGCCATTTTGGAGTTTTGCGTTACTTTGCCATGATAAATGAAGTTTTCGGTTGGAGATGCCCTAATCAATTTGTATGCGGCCAAGCTATCGCTAATTATACGTTTGTGTCGAGGCATTTCTGATTTCAATAAATTCATAATTAAATTAAACATATCAAGGAGATAAACTCAACAGCTTGAAAATCAGTTCGATTCTAACCCAAATAGATTCAAATCAAGATTCTAAAGCATATTTGAAAAGTTCAAAGTATTATTTGAATGACCAAATGATATCCAAATCTGACATGCTTATAGTCAAATCGAACGGCTCGAGGACCCTAAGCTCTTTCAATTTTGACATCACTAAGGCACTTAAACGACTGAAAATGCACTATAATTGGAGGAATCAGTGCAAGATGTCTGATGGAGCATCCGAACATACCATGGATATTCTCAATATTTGCGGGGTGTGTCACTCACAAAAATTTATAAATATATCCCTTTCTGCCTACCACACTCCCTATATGATGAATAACTTTTGTTGGAAATCAGAGAGAGCTCTCAGATTTCAAGAGCTCAAGCATCACCGTTGGCGAACCTTTATCAACTGTCACAAACCGGACCACCACTTGACCGCCGACAGGTGTCAGACCACCTCCTAGTCACCTACCACCACCATACTTCCACTCGACTGCTGACCACAGCCGGTCTTTCACCCGATCATCGTCAGGCCAATACCCGACCACCGATTGCCGCCGGACTTCTAGTCGGCCCCAACCGCCAAAGACTCCAACCCGACCATCGTCGGACTACTATCCGGCCATCATTCGCCGCCGACCATCACTGGACTTCCACCCAGCCACCGACAGCTACTGAACTTTCGCCTAATCACATCGAACCACTGCGCAGCCGCCGATTGCAGCTGGACTTCCACCTAACCATTGTCGGACCACTATCTGGTCGTCTACCGTCGTCGAACTTCCACCCGGCTATCGATCATTATTAAACTTTCTCAATACCATCGTCGAACCACCACCCTGTCACCAACTATTGTTTGATCATTGCTATTTTCTAGACTTCCGCCCGAATGTCGTCGAACTTCTACTCGACTGCAATTAAACTTCCACCCAACTCTCCAAAAAGATTATAATTCCTCTGCCTCTAAGTCATGGGATGAGTCAACCTTTATAATTCACTCAAATTTAGTGTAATCTTTTCACCTGGGCGAGGCCCTGTGGTTTATCCCTTTTCACATTTTCCAAGTTAAAAATTCCTGGTGTTTTTCTGTCTATCTTTAACTACATGTTTGTGTGTTGGATATTCGTGCATCGCTAAGACGAAATATCCACTCACTCTATCGTCGCGACTATTCTAACCCGCAGTAGTTGTAGATCTCTGGCTTATTTGCACCTAAATCTACCATAGAAACACTTCTAATAAGCATATTTTTTATAATTAATGAACTTAAATAGTGAGAGGGGAAGTTTCTTAAGTTTAGAGAACCCCCTTTGGTTTCTATATATTGTTATAGGTTGTCTCCTAAATTGTTAACATGCTAACCATTTGGCAGGGCTTCACCATCGTGGAGGTGTAGTGCTTGTAGGCTTTGAGCTAAAATTCATCTAGTATTTATAAAGTGGTTGGGTGAGCTTCTTCTTTGCCTTTGGCCTTTGGGGTGTTGGACCATGCTTCCCTTCCACTCTTTTAAGATGAGTTGGCCTAGTGGGACCCCCAACATGGGCTTAAAACAAAATTTGGGTATTTAAGTATAACTAAAATTGGATCAAAACTCATTAATCGCTCATCATTAGTTTTGTGGATCACTTTTAACGAGTAATGGACTCTCTCTCTCTCTCTCTCTCTCTCTCTCTCTCTCTCTCTCTCTCTACGATTTCTCTTTGTTTTCTTTTCTCTTCATTTGGTCATTCTCTCTTGAGGTTATTACAAAGATTTGTAATTTTATGGTTTGGATTCAATAGTCCAGTGCAAGAATGCTACAGGTTTCCGGCGGATTTTGCGTCGGAAAGTCGACGGAAACGACGATACAACGAATCGGATCGATTAGTCCGGCGTCTTTTTGTACGCCGGAAATTACCAACGCCTGTTCCGGCGTCTAATCCGCCGGTGATTGCCGACGAAGGCCTTGCGCCGGAAATCAGCCGTTGCTTATTTACGGCGACATTACGGCGACTTAAGCGCCGGTATTTTCCGTCGGATATGTACGGCGTAAATTACCGACGCATTCATTGTCGGAATTATGGAATAAAAATCGACGTCTTTCATGTCGTAATTTGCGCCAGTAGTGCGCCAGTAGTGCGCCGGAATGGTTATCGGCGGAGTCGAAACGTCGGTACATATTTTACGACCCACGCCAAACCGGCGGATGAAAATCCGACGGAAATGCGTCGGAAACCTAGGATTTCCGTCGGATTTCAGCGGTTACCGGCGAATAATGTCCGCCGGTAATAGCGTGTTTTCCTGTAGTGAAGATAGCTCGGGTAGTTGGTGAACGATATAGAGTTTCATAAAGTTGGTTATGAAGTTGTTGTGGAGAAAATACTTTGGTTACTCTAGCTGCAAAACACAGCTTTTCAGCGTATAATACATTTTTGAAAATCACTAGCTAAGATGGTAATCAAATAAAATTGTAGTTACTATCTTAAAAACAAAACAACTAAAAAGTTGTCTCAAACATACTCTCAACTACCAGGCAAATTATTGCATCAGGTCACCAGACGGAGAGATCCGTTCGGATCTCTCTCTGTCTACAGTAAAGCGCAGGTAAAGCGCAAGTGTGCTACAGTAACCTGCGCTTTATTGTAGACAGAGAGGATCCGAACGGATCTCTCCGTCAGGTGACCTGATGAAATAATTTGGCCAACTACCAATGCCGGATGGCTTTTAATTTGAATTTATTTCAACAATTTGAATTATGACCGGACTCAAATCAAAACATTTTCGTAACATTTTACTTAGTTATATGCAACTCTAATGTTTTTGCTCTTGGGTTTAATCATCATAATTGGATTAGAATATAGTGATCTAAATTTATTCAGTATAAAATTAAAAAAAATTTCTTAAATTTATTTTTAAAAAGAGTATAATTCATAAAAAATTTAATTTATATTACACATATTTTTAAATTAACTTTAATTTCTTTTTAATAAAATACTTTTTAACTTGAAGAGATCTATATTTTCAACCTTGTTATATTCATGAACAATATTGTTTAAAGGTCATGTACAACTTGATAAGAATCTTGATTCATGTGCGATATAAAAATAATGAATCGGCTTTTTTATATATAAAAGTAATGAATCGGCTTGTTTAGAGCTCGCTTATGCATCGAAGAACTTTAATAAATGAAGAACTTATTTGTATTATATCATCATTAGTGAATGAGGTTAATTTGCTAGTACTGTGACGTGATGATACATGCTCGTTAATCATAATTAGCAGCAGTTCATCATGATTTGTTAGTTAGGAGTTTTGACTGTCAATCAACAGATCTTGAATTCGAGTCTTTTACATGTGATATATGTTTGAGTTTATGTTAATTAGTGTAAGGCTTCATTTGGAATGACTTTCTTACTATTTTTAAAATAATTTTTGTATAAAAAATTGATTCATAAATTAGTAAAAAAATCATTCGAAATGAAACCTAAATGTCTAAAAAAAATTATTCTTAATTAAGCTCAACATGCAACCTAAAAACCTATCTATTATATAGCCTCTCAATATAAAAGCGACAAACTCAATTGAGTTGGCGTGTCTCCTCTTTTCAGAAACGAATATATTATGACAGAGAGATTAGTTTTCTTAATAAAAACATTTAGAGCAATCTTTTCTAATTCAATTAGTAAGCTATGATGGAGCAAACGCATTATTTGGCAATGCCTATGGTCACTCACACTTGACTATTGTGGTTCCTATAACCTTCTAAAAAATTGTCATATGAATATGTTCCTCTGATCAAGGTTGCCTGGCTCTTGTCACCAACTACATTGATGCTCGCTGATTTTTTCATCTATCATCACTGACATTGTCAAAGCATATTATCACATATAAAGTTAATGCTTGTCATCGCATATAAATTCGGTGCACGTCATTGATGCATGTCATCGCTTATAATATAAATTCGTATCGACACTAAGGTTAACATTCATAGATTTTATCACCTTTCATCACTCGCACTGTGAAGGCACATATCATCGCCAGTAAGGTTGATTCACATTATAGGCAATAAACATAATTCGTGACATCAACATTATATTAAGAGTATAATAGACATCTTGATCTTTAGTCATTTCTTAAAAGGCGAATGATCGAACATACTACAATGGATAGTTGAAGGCAACGCTAATAGCTCAAGACAAAGTGAAATCCATATGTAAATTTTTTTTATATCTACTATTTTGTATCACTTCTTTCATAATCAAGAGAAAAAAGTATCATTTGTAATCTAAATAATAGTTAAGATAATATTTTGTTTAGTATTATTTAAATTGTTTGATGTAGACATTGCAAATTAGTTGGTTTATGATTTTGTAAATTCAAAAAAAAAATTATCACTCTTGAATCAATATTTAAATTATTTCAATATGATTTAAATATTATAATAATAATATAATTATTATATTATCCATCAATTCAATATATAATATTTTAAGCCTTGATGCTTAACTCTTGAAGATTTTGAAAATGATTCTAAATTAAAATTTTGAAACATACTATTTTGATTATTTTTAATATATATATATATATATATATATATATATATATAATTTTAATGTTTTTCAACCATATGATTAAAATCAAAAGGTCATAAATTGATTACTATTAGAACAACATGATTCTCTTAAAAAACAGGCTGGTTCATCTGTTCCCAAATCAACCCTTGCTCTAAATCTAATCACTTAGATGCGAAAATAGTTTATGGTACGGATCGAACCAATCAGAGAATCGGTGCATAGCTGAACTGCTTAAATCCATCAATTCGGTCTAAATTTTATGCTTTTTGACACATTTTGTTAGTATTTATCTATTGATATCAATCTATATTAATGCTTACACATACTGAAAATAAATAAATAAATTTCCCCAAAATACTTATCACACCCTATTGGGCTTAGCTGGGTTGATGGGTGAGCGTGGTTGGGAACCCCCCAACCCACGTTCTATTCCTCTCTCATTCGGAATGACTCTTAAAGTGTGGATAAAATAAGTGCATGGTCTGGCACTTGTGGGGTTGATTGCCACTAGGCCGGCCAAAGAATTAGTTACTCTGTCAAACTCCTCCTCTACGAGAATAATAGCGGATAGATATCCCGTTCCAAAAAAAAATCTTTTCACATAAGAAAATCGTATGCTAGCTAGGTTAGCTCAGCTTGAAAATCACCCTCACTAGCCTGCTTAATTTTTAGAGGTGATATTGAAGGCCACATATGCATGTCCTAAGCATGGATAAGTGCATGATGAGATGTGATTGATTCGTATAATGCATGCCACGGTTGAGCGACTGCAGCCTTATAATGCATAGAACAAGGATCGATGATTCGTCATGTCATTGCACTATTGACCATCAAAGCCTATAAAGACTGCAAAAATATCAGGAAATGAGTATTTCTTTTAGAGAAGAAGAAAAAAAGCATTTAATGAAATTTTGCCGTCATAAAATTATTGTCTTGTTATATATATATATATATATTAAAATTATTGTCTTGATTATATATATATATATATTCTAATAAGATTTTATTTAATTTTTTTTACTGTTTTTTAAATCAACTTTTTAGCATTAAAATTTTATTTATTGCACTAAAAAATAGCTTTAAGAAATAGTAAAAATGCCGTCTTAAACGAATTAAGCGTTCGACTTATTACATGGAAATAAAATAGAAATTCAAAATTTTGTGATCATCTACCATTATTACAATTAAAAAACTTCAATTTTGGCATGTCTGAATATTCATGATAATAGAAAGAAAATTTAACCTCTTGTTTTGTATAAATATTTATCACACACGTTGATAAAACGTAAGGCACTAGAGTTTTTTTTTTTCATGTTAAGGTTAAAAAAAATTCCAAAAGGTATAAAAACAACTATTGAAATAGTTTCATTAAGTAGCGTTGGTCTTATATTGGTGGCCAGTTGAGAATTTTATGATGGCCTTGGTCAAGATGTTGTGATTCAATAATGATGGTCACGTGGTGCCTGTGCGATGATGATGGTCAAGTTGTAGCTATCTGACGTCAGAGGTTGAGCGAGGGTGGTCTGATGACGATTATTAGGTGGAAGTGGTCCAATGTGCGTGATCAAGCGGTGGAAATTTAACACTAGAGGTAGATTGTTGGAGGTCTAATGAAAGTGGTCTAATGAAAATTGTTGGATAATTGTGGTCGGATTGTGATGGTCGAACACAGACTGCCGAAACACATACGTCGCTCAATCCTATCATATCGTAAGAGAAATTATTTAGTGCGGAATCCGAACGCAGAGTTGTATTCGGATTATGATCTATAATCACATATTTGAACGATCTCCAAAAGTTAAAAGTACAAAAACAGAACTTATATAGCACTCAGTTTACGTACGTAGCTACGATCAACGCGCTCAAACGTACCTTCCAACTAACAAAAATCAATCAATGACGCCCTCCACCTTAAAACTTTATAACAACAAGCACATATTCATACACCACTCTTCGATAAATAATCTGATGGCCGATTCTTCTCGACCCTCGGCCATCGGATATCGCGGCATACGCCGGCGGAGCGGCAAATGGGTATCGGAGATCCGCGAGCGGCGGAAATCCAACCGCATCTGGCTCGGCACTTACCCCACCGCCGAGATGGCCGCCGTCGCATACGACGCAGCCGCCCTCGCTCTCCGCGGAGCCGACGCTGTGCTTAATTTCCCAAACGCTGCTGCGTCGCTCCCGACGCCCGCTTCGGCTTCAGCAGACGACATCAGGGCTGCGGCAGCGGCAGCGGCCGCGCAGCTTGGGTCCGAGATGAGCGTGGATGTCGGAATAAGCGGATTTATAGATGAGGAAGAATTGTTCGACATGCCGAAACTGCTTGTGAATATGGCGGAGGGGATGCTGTTGAGTCCGCCGAGGCTGACTCCGGCGGCCTCGTATGACTTATCGGAGGTCGATTCTCATGGCGAGAATCTATGGAATTTTGATGAGTAAGAGATATGAACTGCTCAAGCATCCCGGCTTTTTTGTTTATTAATTTTAGGGTTTAGAGACCTGATTTTTCGATGCGAACATTTTTCAATGGATTGTAATTTAGCGTTCGCAGCTTTCTTGATTTGGTTTTTCAGCCTCACATTCAATAAATTATTCTTACATATTAAAATAGCTGTAACTTTTTATAACATCGCCTATACGTTTAGAAAAAATAATCTTTTTAAAAATTATCTTAAAAATTTTTGTTTGGGAAAATAGCTTTTAGTATTTTTTTTCTTAAAGAAAATTTTATTAAAAAATTGCTTAGTTGTTCCAAATGATCTGGCGCGACTAATCACCTAACGGCCGATGCTTCTCAACTTCAGCAAGCTCAGTCTTATTCTGGTAATTCTCACGTTCAAGTTGGAAATGGACAGCTTCTTCCCATTTCACATACCGGTCAAGGCATCTTACCCACTCCTTCCCGTAATTTATGTTTATCTCAAATTCTTCATGTTCCTTCTTTGTCGCACAATCTTCTTTCCATTCATAAGTTAACATCTGACAATCCTTGTCTTGTTTCTTTTGATTCTACTGGCTATATCATCAAGGATTCTCGGACCAACCGGATTCTTCTCCAAGGGCCCAGTCAACAAGGACTATACCCTATTAACTCTACCAATCGTTCAACTCATCTACCTGCACCTGTTCCGGTTTCAGCTCTCCAAGCAGCTACTGTGCATTCAACTCTTTGGCATCAACGCTTAGGTCATCCTTCTTCAGCTATCCAACAACAACTCTCCAAAGCATTGCAAATCAGCAATTTCTCTCCTCAGTTATTTCACTGTTCTGCGTGTTCTCGTGCAAAATGTAGTCGTCTTCCTTTTTCTTTATCGTCTACTACCACTACTAAATGTTTAGAATTAGTTCATACGGATGTATGGGGACCATCTCCAGTTTTATCAATGCAATCATATAAATATTATCTTCTTTTTGTGGATGATTTTACTCGTTATACTTGGGTGTACCCTTTATATAATAAATCTGAAACTTTCTCTAAATTTCTGCATTTTAAATCCATGGTTGAGAGACAATTTCAGAAACCGATTAAGATACTTCGTTCTGATGGCGGTTCTGAATATGTTAACAATCTTTTCAAAACCACCTTACTAAAATGCGGTATTCTGCATCAAACCACTTGTCCTTATACGCCTCAACAAAATGGTGTTGCTGAGCGCAAACACCGTCATCTTCTCGAAATGGTTCGAGCTCTTTTATTTCATGCAAATGTTCCTCTCAAATGGTGGTTTGATGCTCTTATGACAGCGGTTTATCTAATAAACCGTCTGCCTTCTCCTCTGTTACAGCACAAGTCTCCATATGAATGTTTATATCATTCTTTGCCTTCCTATACTCAGCTTCGCACGTTTGGCTCGTTGTGTTATCCTTGGCTGCCCACTAAGCTAACACATAAATTAGCTCAACGTTCCATTCCGTGTGTCTTTCTAGGCTATGGCACTCATGCCAAAGGGTATAAGTGTCTTCATATTCCTACTGGTCGCATCTATCTATCGAGACATGTCAAATTTCATGAGCATATTTATCCTTTCCAACAGATGGACAGCATACAAACATCCCCTGTGTCTCCGGTTTATGTTCCACCATCTGCCTTAGTACCTGTTTCAAATCTCCCGTCTCAATTACCAACTGCTTCAGCCACCACGTCTACTTCCTTACCTGTCGTAAATCCACAAAATACCTCATCTACTCCTGTTCATTCTTCTCAAAATGATTCCATTGGTTCTGCATTGCCAACCTCCACTACCTCACCTGAATCTGTACCTATCTCCAAACATCCTATGCTTACTCGGCTACAAACTGGAAATCTGAAACCTTCCAAAATCTTTGATCTACAACATTCTCTTATGGACTCCACACCAACTTCCTTTACTCAAGCTGTTCAATCTTCCACTTGGCGTAAGGCCATGAGTTTAGAATTTGATGCTTTGCAAAAACAGGGTACGTGGATGCTTGTTCCCTTTTCTCCTACTCAAAATATATTGGGGTGTAAGTGGATCTTCAAAACCAAACTCAACTCTGATGGCTCCATAGCACGTCACAAAGCTCGTTTGGTAGCTCAAGGTTTCAATCAAGAATTTGGTTTAGATTTTCATGATACCTTTAGTCCAGTTGCTAAGTTTCCAACAATACGCATTTTTCTCACTATTGCTGTGCATTATAACTGGACTGTTTTACAACTTGATGTTTCCAATGCTTTCTTGCATGGTAAACTTGAAGAAACTGTTTACATGAAACAACCACCAGGGTTTATAGATCCCCAAAGACCAACTCATGTTTGCTTACTTAAGAAGGCATTATATGGTCTTAAGCAAGCCCCTCGGCAATGGTTTGCTATTTTTTCTTCGTATCTCATTGATTATGGATTTGTTAATAGCAAGGCTGATTCCTCTTTATTCCTCTATCAACATGGCTCGGTTAAATTATATATTTTGGTTTATGTTGATGACATTTTGTTCACTGGATCCGATAGTTCTGCTGTTAATCAACTTCTTATAGCTTTACAAAACCGGTTTAATATGAGAAATCTTGGACATGTTACATATTTTCTTGGTTTGCAAATCACCAAGCAACCTCACGGCCTGCATCTCAATCAGTCCAAGTATGCAGCAGATCTCCTCAACCGAGCCGGCATGACTAATTGTCATCCTGTATCTACCCCTTTACCGACTAAACTCAAAGTTTCACCGCAGACTGCAACTCTGTATTCTCAACCAGAGCTGTATCGTCAATTAGTTGGTTGTTTACACTACTTAACGTTAACCCGTCCAGATCTTATGTTTGCTATTAATCATCTTTGTCAACACATGCATCAACCTCAAATTATACACTTTCAGCTATTGAAACGGGTTCTACGATACATTAAAGGCACGCTTGACTATGGGTTGCCTATTTCAGCTTCTACATTGCTTCTTACAGCCTTTTCAGATTCAGACTGGGCTGCGGATTCTTCTGATCGTCGATCAATTACTGGCTATTGTGCCTTTCTTGGTCAAACCTTAATCTCATGGATGGTAAAGAAACAAACAGCTGTTGCTCGATCTTCTACCAAAGCTGAATATCGTGCGTTAGCCACGGCCTCCTGTGATATCATTTGGCTTCAATCTCTACTTCAAGATTTCGATATCACCATTCCCACTACTCCACTGTATTGTGACAATATATCAGCTCTTGCCTTGGCTAACAATCCCATGTTTCATGCGCGTACTAAGCATATAGAAATAGATTGTCACTTTGTCCGTGACTGCATCAAACGACAACAGCTTTCTGTGCATCATATTGCTTCTCAGGATCAATTGGCTGATTTCTTCACCAAAGCTCTTCCAGTTCTTCGCTTCGCATCTCTTCGTTCCAAGCTTACCATTGGGTCTCCCACTGCTAGCTTGAGGGGGGATGATAAGATAAGCACATGTGATAAGCTCTCTCATATATAGAGCTGGTGGCTTCCCTCTCCATGTGCTGTGACTGCGCCACTTCCCCACTACACCTGCTCTGAGCAATCTCAACCGTTTACTTTCTGCTGTTAATCACAGCCGTTGGTTTATAACTAACTGGCTAGTTTATTTAAGCTGATACTGTAGCTTGATCACTCAAGGAAGATAATGAAGAACTGATTGCTCACTTCTCTGTTCTTTGCTCTAACCATTGTTTGCTGCAGGATTCATCAGAGACCTCTTGGAGCACTTGCTGTAATTTATGTTGAACATGAGAAAATTAACATTAGGATGTTCCTCATCAACCATATTGAGAATGAGCAAGCAAAACAAAAGTGGTCATGAGTCTTAATATTTTCTTTACAAAGCTTACGAATAGAGTTAATGACCTTACATGCTTAGCGAGATTATCTATAATTTTCAAATTTTTAAGGATAGCCATCCAACATTATAAGTAGGGTGTCAATATTTAACACGACGTCCTGGAAATCCGACTTGAACCAACTCAAAAATTATGGGTTATGGTCAAATGGTCAGATTCAGATTCAACAAACTGACCCGCTTCAAAAATTGGGCCAGGTTCAGATTGACTCGAAAACCTGAGAATGATTCGAAACCGACCCGACCAACCGTTGTAAATGAAATCTGATTTCGGAAATCCCGCAGGGCGCACTTTCGTAGGCTAGCTCCGCACGGACCTGTCGTTACTATCTACCTCTCCCACAATCTTGTTGTCAGCCTCTCCGCACGGCCTCGCCTTCCTGTCGCCGTCAGCCTCTCCTGCAGCCTCATCATCCGCCTCTCCGCATGGCCCCGCCTTTTTCAATGACGTTTGTCTGCAAAATCAACACCTCCTTCAACTGTCGTCGGTGAGCTGCTAAATGTTGACCCGATGCCAGCAGCCAACACCTCCTTCGACGACATTCCTTCCGGCGAGACAACGAAAGGTTGGCAGGTCATGTCGGTTTGATCCGGGTCCGAAGCAGGTGGGGTTCGTATTCGAGAAAATGACTCATTCTAAAAACCGGATCGGGTCAATATGTGTCGGGTCAGTTCTGAATTTGCCAACCCTAAATTTATTTCTAACATCCACTTTAAGATAATTCTCCAAAATATGCGATTTAGCATTAGCATTTAAAAAATATTAGCAACACTCATTCGAATATTATCTTCCTAAATATAATAAAAAAGACAAACTAATTATATCATTATAATATGTTTTATTTATGCAGCGAGAGAGTCAGGAATCCTCCCCATTGAAAATAGGTGAATTATTACGTCCGATTATCGGACGTCCGGACACCCAATCCAGACGCGCCATGTCACCCGAATACATTGGGTCCCGATTCATTTTGGTGACGTGGCGTGTCTGGATTGATGTCCGGATAAATCCGGACACTGGACGTAATAATTTGCCTTGAAAATAATGAAACAAAATTTAGAGTCGGAAGAGAAGTTCAAAATAGTGTAACATGTAGGTCCAAGATTGTTGAGAAGGAAGTACCCCTCCAACCAATATGAGTATATGGCAATATTCATAAAATAATAAAAAAATTAAGACCATTCCCAACAGAGTAGCACAATTTCCTTTACATAGCAAGTACAGCTAAATAAATCTCATTCCATATGTGAGAGCTATTGGATAGAAATTTTAACCAGAGAGAGCCATATAAGCTAAAA